AATTGTGACATTTTTGATGCTAAAAAACCATCATAAAATTGGGAACCAAATCAGATGATTAATGTCTAAGCATATGTGCATGGAATGTTGTATCTTTGCTATGATTTATCCTATGCTACTCCTTTTCATTAAGAAGTGCTGTACTGTGTTCATCGTAAATTAGAGTGTGACTGAATACTAAGCCTTGCCATCTGGCCTCTCTTAAAGTACAGGAAACCAAGAAACATACAGTAGTTGACTTGTACCCAGAGCACAGTGTAATTTGTAATTCATTTATTGAAATGATTAAGGTTTATTAGCAATAAAGAGAAAACCATACTGTGTCAGAAAGTATTCTATTTGTCAAGAATTTATAGCAGAGAATATTGTCAGTAAACCTGCTGTGCTATGATGAATGAAAGTGAAAGCTGTACAGACATAGTACCTTAAAGTGTTACTAAACCCAGGACCCTGCATTCACTATATCTGGTCTCCCACAGTACACAGACCATGGAAGTGCAATAATTTTAGTAAATATAAACTGATAAATACCTTTTTTCACCAGCAGTTAGAGCAGTCTTGTGACTTCTATTAGTGTCCAGCAGGGCACATGTTAAAGCTTGTAGGAGGAGTTTTTATTTTGCTCTGGGAGGATGCAGAGCCCCTGACCTCTGTCTGGACAGTGCTGATCACATGCACTCTCCCAAGAAAAAAAAAAAACTTTCTAGTAATACACACCAAGCTGAATGTGTGCAGATATGTCTTATCAGGAGATATGAGGGGGGAACTGGAAGAAGGGGAGGATCAGAGACATCAGGATCAAACAGACTATTTACACAATGCAGAGGATTAACCACTTAGGTTCCACAGTGAGTATAACAAGCATGCTTTACTGCATATACATACAAACTGATTTTACGGTTGTGAGTTTAGTAACACTTTAATAATGAACAAAAACACAGCAATCACAGCTATAGGTAACCTCTATCACACATTAGAAGGCCCAAGGTGTGTCATCTATACCTCTTTGCTATATTTTGCAGGTGAGGAGCATATTACAAACCCCTTCCAGTGGGAATTTCTGGGGAAAAATGTATTTGCAATGGCAGTTGAAGGAATTGTCTACTTTTCTTTAAATCTGCTCATTCAGAACCGCTTCTTTTTCACTGCATGGTAAGCATCTTCAAAATGTACAATACTAGTATAGATAAAATATCAACATTGATAGTCCAATTCATTTTTAACATAACTATTTAGAAGAAAGACACAAAAGAACAAAGAACAACAGTATTCCTTCCTACCATAGATAAAGGCATAATTAATATTTGCGCATATGGGACCTTAAAGTGGGAGTAAACTCCCACTGGACACTTGTACGTACAAAGTAAACTTATAATAAAACTTACCTGTAGGTACAAGGGATATATCTTAAACATGTACTGTTTAGGAGATATTCGATGTCTCTGCAGCCGATGACATCACCAGCGCATGCGCTCTGAAGGAACAGCATTCCTATGCTGTTCCTTCAGAGCTTTGTGCCGCTGCCGAAACTCCCGTGCACATGCGTGGCAGAAGTGACATCATCGCGGCTTGGCCAATTAAGAGGAAGACCGGATTAAGATGTAAAAATAATTAGAGACAGGGAAGGAGGTTACAAATATTCTAGGTATCTGCTTCACTATAGATATGTGTGGTCCATTAACCGAACATGACTGGCAACCTAAAAGTACATGAACATAGTGTCCACCAAAAGCAGTTACAGAAAGGACCATACAGTAAACCATGTATAAGTATAACAAAAAACAACATTTATTTTATAACAATATTGAGTATGAATGCATAGAAATTGCCAATCATATGACAAAAAGGCAATTGACCAAGCACCAATCTATCACCTTACCCTAGATCAACTTTATCTGTTCCCCTTCAAACCATTCAAATAAACCACAAAGTCACAGTATGGCCCTATATTCAAAAGAATAGCCAGGCAGTGACTACCACCTATCGTCTGTCAGGCTATTTCTTGATACCACCCTATGGGCTAGCTATATTGGAGTATGATAAATATTGCATGGGTTATAGTACATAAGCAAAAAAAACTATCCGATTGTGTGAATCCGATAATCACTGGATTAATCATGTAACGTAAATTCCAATTCACCTTGGCTGGTATAGAGAAAATGTAACTAGATCTCCAAGTCTTTCTTGAAAGCTAAATTGCCTGGTTCTAAGATACAATTCCATGATGAAGCCAGTGATTACAATAATTGGGAATTTGGAAAAAAGTTATAAATGTAGGATCTACGATTTACACCTGAATGTATTCTTTGAATATAGGGCCATACCGTGATGTCATGGTTTATTATAATGGTTTTAAGGCGAACAGACAATGTTTGTCTGGGGTGAGGTGATGGATATTGGTGTTTGATCAATTGCCTTTTTGTCCATATGACTGGCAATTTCTATGCATTCATACTCAACATTATTATAAACTAAATTTAGTTTTTTGGTATACTTATACATGGTTTATCGCATGGTCCTTTCTGTAACCACCTTTGGTGGACACTATGTTCATGTACTTTTAGGTTGCGGGTGAAGAAGGAAGCCTTATAAACGGTGACAGTGCGCCGCTGGAGGGCTTCGTTCTAAGGCAAGTCTTTCACAATGTGCTAATATGCAATGCATGCTAACACATTATGACATTACCTTTCAGGGAGATTTTTTTTTTTTTCAACTTAAGTTTACTACCACTTTAATGTATAACCGCATTTTCACTTAATACTAAAATAGGCTGTCCACTTTGCAAGGGAATTTTCTATAGGGCTTAATGAATATTGTGCAAATTAACTTTGCAAAGAATACCCAATCACATGCAATGATAATAAAAAAAAAAAAACAATATTTTTGCTTTCACATGATTGGATGATGGAACAACTTATTTGCCTTTAGTAAATGAAGCCCTGTGTATTTGTACTGCTCCTTGCTGCTTTTTCAATTTGCTAGTATGAGGCAAGGGACAGGCATACTTGCTGATTAGGTACCCAGGTTCTGCTTCCTGCTTTGCAATCCTATTCCATGGTTGAGCCTTACTGCTTCCTTTCATAATGCATGTCTTTTATTTAGGTGAATTATGAAAAACAACAGAATCCCTAGAGCTAATATCTTATCTAAGCAATGTTCAAATTGTGTGCTTTTATATTGTAAACGCTCACAAGCAAGGCACCCTTGTATCAGATTGTATTGTAACTGTACTGTCTCTCCTTCATTTTGTAAAGTGCTGCAAATGCTGCTGGCATTATATAAATCCTGCACAATAATAAAAATGTCAGAGCAAAAAAAAAAAAAACAAAAAACAAATGCAGTGCATCTCGGGAATAAATGTACATTTCCATTTGTTTAATCCCTGTAAAGACCCTGCAACTACAGAAAAAGTTCTGTTGTGGAATGAGAACATGATTTTTTGGGGTATCAACTCTGCCTGGTTGTGTTTTCCTAAACTAGGCACCCCCTCCCACTCTCCTCATCTAAAATCATTCTGTAGTTCAAGATAAGAACTAGGAGGCCAATTACGTAATGAGGTAGGTAGGAGGGTGTAAATTAATACAAATCCATTTACATCTGCCCGTTCTATGGGCTGCATAAACCTCCCATTAGATCCACCTGAAAGTTTGACAGGCAGACCTAATTGGAATGCTCAGGTGAAAGGCCCCTATGACAGCTCTGAATTTGTGAAATGATCACAGGTATTTTACTGCACTTATCATTCATTTAACAAAATGCTTTCAATAGGCAATATTTACCAGGTCAAAAAAGAGCAATTAAATGAAGTTCATTGTTTAAGTATACAGAGAGTGGTTGCACGAAACAACAGAGAGCTCCCTCTAATGGCTGCTTTATGAACCTCTATATTTAAAAGGTACGTTCACCTTTGGAACATGTTACATGCGCCACCTGATTTTAGGGAGGAACATGTTCCAGCATCTGTATCCCACACCCCTGATCCCCCATCCTTGTGATAGCAGACAGGGGATCTTCTCCCTGCACCCACTGTCACAGTTTGAAAACAGAGCGGCTGGATGGGGTACCACCCACACGACCATGTCATTCATTCACAGTTGCCTGTGAATGAGTAGACTACAATTACCTTCAGCCACTGCAGCCGATGGCTTGCAGTTCTCAATGAACTACAAGGGCACTGGTGAGCGCTCTCATAGTTCATTTACCCCTGGTTCACATATATGCGGCCTTGCGGGTCGCGTTTTGCACGGGCATGAGAGTCCATTCATTTGAAAGGACTCCCGTGCCCGTGACACGCAGGGAAGTCCCTGAACTTCTTTTGAAAACACAGCCCGCACGGGAACCTCTGTTCCCAGTACGGTTGCGTTTTCCTGTGCGGGCGGCATGCCATTGGAACTAATGGCACCCACCCGCGGGTCCGCATTTCTCTGTGTGGATTTTCATGCAGATCTGTAGCAGCACCACCTAAACAGATGTGAACCTAGGGTTATTCTTCCTGCTCTCAAGTAACTGCCTGCCTGTACAAGGTGTGGGCAGACAGTTATGCTGAGAGTCTTCAGGAGCCTGAGATTGCACCTGTGATATGCTGATCACGGGTGCAGTGCTCTGCAGGCTCCTTAGAAAAAATAATAATAAATGCACATTTTTTTACCTGCAAAAAAAATATTCATATATTATTTTTTTTCAAAAGGTAAACTTGGCCTTTGTTACAATAGCAAAAACATACGACCATGTGAAAAAAAGTTACATTTAAAAATTACTTCAAAGTAAACACTGCACTAATAACTCAAAACATACTGCATGCTCACCTAATATACATTCAAGAGCGTTGCTATTGTTATTATTGTTATTATTATTGTTATTGACAGAAATTGGTCAGTCCAAGATACTCCTATTTTCATTTTGGCATTCTCTTTGATAGGTTTGCTGAACCTCCAAAGGAGCAAATTGAAGGTGAAGATGAGGATGTTGCACAGGAGAGACTCAGAGTCTTGAAAGGAGGAGGAAAAACCGATATATTAAAACTGAAAGAACTGACAAAGGTAAATGTGTCTACTCTTTTGAAAAGTAGTTAAGTATATTGTAGCTGTTTTGATCATGTTTGCACAAACATAGAAGTGAAAAACCTAAAATGGTTAATTCATGAATGAGTTAAGCTGGCCATACACAGCAAATTTCAGCTGGATCCTTGATGAACTGGATGAAATTCAAGCCATGGGTGGCCCTCCAGCCTGACAATCTTTGATCCAAAAATTGAAGAACCTGGCAGAAATTTGACAGTTAAGCAGTGGCTGCATCCAATAAGATACAGCCACTGTTCATGTATTCTGACAGCCGCGGTTGCAAACTGTCAGAATACAATAGCTGTCAGGACATTCCTCTATCAATGCTTTTTAGTGTGGAAGAAAGAATAGATAGATATCTTCGTGTTTGGTCAGTTTTATTAGAACTGTGTTCATTACTTTATCCCATAATAATTTTCTCAGTTCACAAATATTAACATTATATACATATGAAAACAGATTTTTTTTTTCCTTAGCTATTGAAAGCCTTTATTTTGTTAATTTTAATAAAATAATTAACTAATAAAAATAAAAAAAATGCACAGTAATAAAAATACTACATGTATTATGTTTTAGTAAACTGAGCCAAGCTCACAGTTCTCTCTACTATATAAAGGTTTATGCTGGTAAACAAACTCCTTCTGTGGACAAGCTTTGTGTTGGTGTCCGGCCTGGAGAGGTGAGTAGAAATACTGTATATGAAAGATTCCATACTGTTCAGCTCTTCAAATTCCCATTGTAACATGCTTGACAAATGTATGGGTAAGAAATGGCATACCTAACAGCAATAGAGATCTCAGATCTGGACAGCTTTGAAGCTGACCTATAGGCAGATATCAAAACACCATTTATTTCAGTTATGTATTAATTAAAATCATTAAGTATATTTTTACATTAAACTACCATGATTGCCAGTCTCTCTTAATATAAACCTACTGCACTCCTCTGCACAGAAACACTTCCAAACAAAAATGGGAAGGCCAGCACTCTGAGCCAGTCTCAATTGCTTTTCATAGTGCTGCCGGTTTGCTTTCCTGAACATGCTTACAGGAGGAAAGAGCAAAAGGTGACCTCATCAGTGTGCTGTTTTGCCTTTACTCTCCAGTAAGTAACTATATTGCTTAAAGTGGTTGTAAAGGAAAAAATAAATTAAGAAATATGTCTATACTTACCTGCTCTGTGCCATAAAATTGCACAGAATGGCCCTGATCCTCCTCTTCTTGGGTCCCCCACCAGTGCTCCTGGCTCCTTCTGTCTGTTTAGTGCCCCCAATAGGAAGCTGATTTCAACGAGGGCACCCATGTGGGCTCGTTCCCAAGTCCCACTGCTGCATCCAATGAGAGAAACAGCAGGACTTGGCCCTGCACTCGCTCTGGCTCCCTCATCATTGCAGTCGATTGACAAGAGCTGGAGCCAATGGCTCTCACTGCTATTGATCTGCCCAGGGAGGAGGGACAAACTCAGGAGAGCTGCAGATCTCATGAAGAGCGCTGGATCATTATGGGGCTCAGGTAGTTATAAGGGGGGGGTGAGGGGGGAATATGTGACACAGAAGGTTTTTCACCTGAATGCAGTCAGATAAAAAAAAAACCTTGAGGCTTTAGAACCACTTTTATAGTATATCTAAATCCAAAAAAAGTATGAAATCTTGCATGTCACTAGCCTTTAGATGTGGTGGCTTCAATACTTTTTTTTTTTCAGATGTTTTTTCCCCTTTATTTTTGCCTGGTAATCTTGATAATAAAACACATCCTGCCCTTACTTAAAGAGGCAGTCATTGTTATCAGCCAGGCTGGAATTCAAAACTTGTCTGCCTTTCTCATCTCCTTTATCTACTGTCTACAGTAACTCATGGAAACCAATCAAAAATCATTTTTCTCTGATAAGACAGCAGTTAACCAAATTTCATTACTGTATATTACAAAATTTTGCACAAAACCACAGTTTGCACGTGATTACCAAAGCTCAACTCTAGGCCAAACTTTTTTTATTTTTTATTGTAAAAGGCAGAGAAGGGTTAGAACTTATATTGTATTATATTTTTTACTGCTGCCTGTGTTATTAGAAAATTTCTGCCTGAACCATGGGCGGACTGACAACTCATGGGGCCCCCGAGCAATAGGGGATCATGGGGCCCCTGTGTCCTTCCCAAACTCAAAAAAAGCCTATGAAAAAGGTACCAGGGGAATCTAATGGGGCCCCCCTACTGACCCTGGGTCCTTGGCAGTGCCCGAGTTTCTAAATGGTCAGTCCGCCCCTGGCCTGAACTCAAAGAAATGAGAAATCTCCCCAATGAGTCAAAACAAAACAACATATTTTGTAGAATGAGGAAGGGTTTGAACATCCGATATATCTTTGCTGCTATCTGTGCCTTACTGTCCCAATGTTACCCACACCCTTCATTTTTTGTTCTAGTGTCACAGGTTTAAAAATGGAAAATCTTCCCCAATGGAATCCAATTCAAATTCTAAAAATGCCTGACAAAACTCTTCTCCACTTTATCCAAAGCCAAAACGTTGTCTGGATAACTCTTTTTATGTGTTTGTTATGTTTGAAACAATGTTTTTCTTTTTTTGGTGACTTGGCATAGACTAATAGTTCATATGTACCATCTAGTGTTTCGGGCTGCTGGGAGTGAATGGAGCCGGAAAGACCACCACATTCAAAATGCTAACTGGAGATATTGATGTGACATCAGGAGATGCAACTGTTGCTGGATACAGGTACGTGAAATGGGTTAATTTGGGGCTGTTGTAGATTGAGTGGATCCAAGACCAAAAACCTCACTGGTAGACCACCAACACCTATACAACCTGGATATCAGATGTCAAAATATAAAGGCCATAAAGAGTAAAGAATTGTTAATAATTTATTGCATAGTTTATACAAGTCCTACACTGTAGCTTATGGTAGAAACCATAAAGTTCTGCCACACACAGGCCAATGTCGATGGGCTTTGGATTTGCGTTATGCCATAAGTTTGACTTCAGTTGGGATGCTTCTGAGATCATTCAGAAATTACTAAAATGTGAATTCAATCTGCGTTTAACTTCCTTCTGATCGGTATTTGACCATTTTCAAGTGGGTTTTCCACTTACATAGACTTGAAAAGTACAATCTATGGAACTTCTGTCATGTTTTTTTTTTCTTTGGGTGGAGGACATGTTCTCACTTTATGTCCCAGTGGCACCTTATCATCCTACGATACACAGGGTGTCTCAAGGTCACAAAGTGGAATTTTTTCATATGCAGTGCTCATACAGGAATACAAATCTGAAATGGGTTCGTAATCTCCATTTTAATAAAATGATGTTTGTCCTACGTTTGAGAGATTTTCTCTCACTGGAGTTAAAGCCTTTAAGAACTTTCTATTCCTTTTTTTAATTAAAGGAAACACACTTTTCTTTATTATTTAGATCCTAACTCAGAAGTTTGAGGTATGACTAACGAATCTACTATATAATACTGAAAGTACATTAGCAGTGCCAGCTTACAAAATAGGCAGAGCAGGCACCATCCTATCTGCCCCACACAGTTTAAGGGCCCTGAGACAATGGATCAAAAACACCCAAATTCAGCTCTTGCCAGACAATTTGCATGGAAACCTATCAAAAAAACTATTTCCGAATTTAAAACTTTTTTGGGCCTAACCCTCAAGATGGACATTACAATAAATAATGAATTGCAGTCATATTGGTCAATAGACCTGATTCCTCATATGCCCATGTTCTCTGCTGTGACATATATGCCCAACAAGGACCAGCAATGTACTGGTACATCGCTGGACTTTGAGTGCTTATACCAAGATGATGCCTGCATCTATAGGCATCATCCTGGTATCTTTTTTCAGCTGGCAGATGACTTTCATGTCAAAGCAGTCCTAGTGGCTAATTAACTGCTGGATCACTTTTACAAGCAGCGGGAAGGGACTCCCAGATTTCTCTGAAAAGAGTACCTGTCATTGCCTATTTCTATCACAGGGGATATTTACATTCCCTGTGATAACCATAAAAGTGATTAAAAAAAGGAAAGGGAGAGTGTAAAAAAGAAAAATAAATAATTAAAACAAACCACACCCCCCCCCTCGTGCTTGCGCGCATAGGCAAACGCAAGCGATGGTCCCATGTCGGTATGTAAACAGAGTTTGCACCATGCATGTGAGGTATCACCACAAACGTCAAATCATGGGCAGTAATTCTAGTACTAGACCTCCTGCGTAAATCTAAAGTGGTAACCTGTAAAGGCTTATAAATTGCCGCCTATGGATATTAAACATTTACATAATTTGTCGCCATTGCACAAGCGCGTGCAAATTTTAAAGCATGTCATGTTAGGTATTTATTTAATCAGCATAACATCATCTTTTATAATTTATCAAGCAATTGGGCAATATATTGTGTTTTTGTGCATTAAAATTGAAAAAGTGTATTTTTTTCCCAAAAAATTGCATTTAAAAACATCACTGCGTGAATACTTTGTGATTTAAAAAAGTTCCAACACCCACCATTTTATTCTCTAGATCCTCTGCTTTAAAAATATATATAATGTTTGGGGGGTTCAAAATTATTTTCTAGCAAAAAAGTTTTCCTTGTAAACAAAAAGCATCAAAAAAGGCTTGGTCTTCAAGTGGTTAGAAGAGTGGATGATGTGTGACATTGGCCCTGAAATGCCAGGATAGTAGAAGCAACCCCCCAAATGACCCCTTTTTGGAAAGTAGACACTCCAAGGTATTTGCTACGGGGCATAGTGAGTATTTCGCAGATCCCATTTGTTGCCAAAATGTATTTTTTCTTTTCTTTTTTTTTTTTTTCAAAATCCCGTGACAAAAATTATATCTGCAAAATAATCACAATGCTTCTTATCAAATTCCTTTAGGTGTCTACTTTCCAAAAAGGGGTCAATTGGGGGGTGTTTGTAGGTAGTGAGGAAGAGATATGAGGAAATATGCCCTTTGAAAGCCTGAAGGTGGTCATTGGATTTTGGGGGCCTGTATGTGGCTAGGCTGCCAAGAAATCTCTCGCAGGTGGTATCCCTGTACTTGGGGGAAGTAGCAGAATGTGTTTTGGGGTGTTATTCCACATATTCCTATGGCATGTGCGAGCAATGTTTCATGTAAGTGAAAACTTTGTGTAAAAGAAAACATTTTCATCATTTTCCAAAAATTTGTGGCAAGAAAAACCTTCCATGGACTCAACATGCCTCTCAGCAAATTCCTTGGGGTGTCTACTTTCCAAAAAAGGGTACCTTGTTTTATTTTGTACTGCCCTGGCATTTTATCACCTCAAGAAATGTGATAGGCAGTCAAAAAGTAAAAGCTGTGTAAATTCCAATATATACTGTATACTACAGTTTGTAGATGCTATAACTTTCACTCAAACCAATTAATATACATGTTTTGGGATTTTCTTTTACCAAAGACATGTAGCAGAATACATTTTGGCCCCTAAATGTATGACTAATTTTGAGTTTATTGGATTTTTTTTTATAAAATTAAGTAGAAATTATTTTTTTTTTCAAAACTTTTGGTCTTTTTTGTTTATATCATAAAACTTAAAAAACCCAGTGGTGATAAAATACCACCAAAAGAAAGCTCTATTTATGTGAAAAAAGGACATAAATTTTGTTTGGGTACAGCATTGCATGACCATGCAATTACCAATGGAAATAGCACAGTGCCAAATAGCAAAAAATGGCCTTGTCAAGAAGGGGGGAAAACCTTCTGGGGCTGAAGTGATTAAAAGCTCATCTTCTTTCAGCTGTCTGTTTGCAAAATCATTTTGGTGCAACCTCTGTATGTGTGATGTACAGTAGTGATGGTCATCTCCATCTAGTGGCTGATGTGTACACTACTTAGTTCAATGTTATCCCACTACATCTCATACACAAGAAACCTGTGAGGGGGTCTCAAGGTTTCGACTGCCTACGGGCCTCCACAGAGTTTAATCTGACACTGTATATCAGTCTGCTCTCTATAGTCAAGTCTTACAAAAAAGGTACTGGGTTAAATCATTAAGTGTTGTTGTTTTCTTTTTCTTTTTTTTCAATTGTGACGATTTGAAATAATTTTGAAAGTGTATAATTTAAGATCCGCACCACCCATGTTACTTTACGCATTGGTCTTCTGTAACAATTCACTCCACCCAATACAGATTATAAGATTTTAAAACCATTTTTGTCTTGGATACAGTGGAAAGAGTTAAAATTTCTTAGGTTTTCTACGTTTTTTTGAGTTGTCTGCTTCCCAATTCGGGAAAGTTTTCCTCACATCCTGTCCTGTGGGAGACCAGGACAACAAATGGGGAAGGGGGAACAGTTGTCTCCTGAATAGGTTGGCACGGACAGCAATAATATTGTCTAAAGTTGCAATCCTTAAAAATGTAGACCTCTGGTCTGTTCACTTTAGTGGATTATTCATATCAACATTAGTTTCTTTTCCAAGCCATTTATAGATGAGGGACAAATATTCCCAAGCCGGAATTGGGGACATCATTGGAAAGTTCATGCCTTAGTAACCTTGATAGCACTTTAGGGCTAGTCTGAGGAAAAGTCATGTGTGACTATCATGTTCTCCTAAGAAGCTAATGCACAGAGAGAGAGAGAGAGAGTTTCCACTTTTTGCTGTAGGTGAAGGTAAAATGACAATTGTGTTAGAATTTTCAGAACACAAATGTGTGACATTGTTCAACTTTAATTGCTTTATTACATAAAGCCTCAAAAGGATTAAAACATATTTAAAGCCAAAACTTTTGTTCTCATTTTGGATAAAGCAGAAAATGGTTAAAAACACTACCAAATTATTTTGCTGTTTCCCATTGGGAAGATTTTTCTTAACTTCCTATCCTGTAAACAAAACAGTAAGTGAGAGGAAACCTTAACAGTGTAGGGGGAAGTCCTCATTTAGACAGTAATATCAGAGACCATCTTTCCATCTTCAGAATATTGTGCATGTTCTATTCTCCACAACTCAGAGCACAATGGTGAAGATTATGATACAAGCTGTGTTGAGTCTTTCTCCATTTAAAAAGTGTCTCCGTTGTATAGAAACTTAGCATTCTCCTAATATAATCCAATCTATTAAGACTTAGCCAAAAAAAAAACTCCATTCCATAAAACATATACAACATTCTGTATTTGTCAGTACTAAATTCCATAGCACTCAACTCACAGCCTCATGTAGGGTTTTTTTTCATAACTGTAATATTCACAAATGCAAAGACATATTGATAACTTTGCTTATGAGAGATTTGCAGTTGTAAAGTGATCTAACAATAAAAGGGATATTATGAAGGTGTGAATACAGAATTGGCTGGCACAATATGTTGAAAATAGTGAATACCACTCAGGGAAATAGCCAGAAAACACAGACAAAGCAATCTAATTTTATTATCCTTAGACAACCCCATACAGTCCATTTCTGTCATGCTTGCATTTTTTTTTTTACTAATGTTACGATATTTTATTGATATTACAGTTTACCGGATATGAAGCAATAACTTTAAGGAAAAATTACTTCTGCTAAGCCAAGAATTAGATTTGCTGTAAATGTTAAATCTCAAAGCACCTTCATTGATTTGCACTTTGCTGCCTTCTCACTTATTATTCCAGGGGGGAACATAAACCAGTCAAGGGAGATATTTGCTCTCTGAAATGTCTTTTGATAATGAAAGTGTAAAAAGCATCCAGCTAACATTGTTGTAGTTTTTCTATACCTTAAGGACCACTA